GTGGCTCTGGGGGATCCCCAGTAATGTTGGAGCTACTCAGGAACCCTCAAGGTATTCTGGTTAATGGGTAGGCTCTGAAGTGACATAGACCAATCTTTAAAATCCAACTTTACTACTTACTCACTGAGTGATTTTGAGCAATTATTTCTCTCCTTTATCTGAGTGTCCTCATCTGTAAAATGGCCAAATTTCATAGGGTTGGTATAGGAATACACAGGGGCTGGCAGATACCAATAGTAGCTACCCAGTGATTTTGCAGAAAATTGTAGAATAAGGAACTTGAGCCCTCCACTGAAGCAACAATTAAGCTGGCAAAACTGTCAAAATCAAGTTTTTCAGAACTCTGGAATGTAACAAAAAACTTATAGCTACCAGGGCAATCAATGCTTAATGAAGAAAAGACCTACAAAATTTTGGCATTTAAGAAAATCTGTATGACTGCTGAGATAACAGAAAAGAGGCTTCAATGACCACCCCCAACAAGGAATGCAGTCTGCAAACGTAGTTCACAAAAGTCACTAAACAAACAGACAACTGCAGTCCCACAGTTAACAATAGGTTGGGCGGCTGATGACTCATCACTGTAATCCTAGCTACCTGGAAGGCAGAGATCAGGAAGATTGCAGTTCTAAGCCAGCTGGGGCAAACAGTTCACCACAAGACCCTATTTCGAAAACACCTAACACAAGAAATGGCTGACAGAGTGACTCAAGTGGTAGTGTGCCTGCCTAGCAAGTGATGAGGCCCTGAGTTCAAACCCCAGTGCTACCCAATCAACAATAGCAAACCCTGGTTGTACATGTGGAGAATCACATTTCCAGAGTCAAAATGTACAGTTTTTAACAAAAAATTAGAAGGCATACAAAATAGTAGGAGTTTATGGTTCATTCAAAGGAAAAAAAAAAATAGGTTGAAATTGTCTCCCATGAAAGCCCAGTCATTCATTGGGCATACAGGGCAAAGAATTTAACTCAAAGATCTTAAATATGCTCAAATAGTAAAAAGAAACTATAAACAAAGAACTAAAGGAAACCAGGAAAACAATGTCTGAACATCAGAGAAAGTCAAAGAACAGCTAGAAATTATAATAGCACAAATAGAAATTTAGGAGTTGAAAAGTATAAATAAAAAATTCACAAGAGGGATTCATCAGCAGGTTTGCATAAGCAGATGCATCAGTGTACTTAAAGACAGGTCATTTGGAATTCTCTAGTCTGAGGGGCAGGGAAAAAAAAAGAATGAGGATACAAGAACAGAGTCCCAAACCATTGATTATACCAAGAAATGCATAATTGGAGTTCCAGAAAGAGAGGAGAGAAAGTAACTAAAAGAATAAAGAAATAATGGCTGAAACTTACCAAAGTTGATGAAAGACCTGAATGTCCACATCCAAGACACTTAACAAACTCCAAGAAGGATGAACTCGAGAGATGTACTCTGGGACACATTAGAATAATGGCTATGACTACCATTAATGCTACTGTTTTAATTACATCATCACTCAGTGAAGCAGCAGGTGCTGTTTTCCTTCATCACTCAGCCAGTTCAGATCAGAGCATTGTGGTTGAATGGGAAAGCAGACTCTTTAGAGCAGGTCTGCATTCCTGCCCCTTAACTAGCTTTGTGATTAAACCAGTTACATTACTTCTCTGAACCTCAGTTTTCTTACCTTTAAAAATGTAGAGAATACTATGGAACTTGGGAAAGGAAGGAAAGGAAAAGAGAATGATAGAGCATCAACACTATCTTAAAACATAACATCTATGAAGGTAGAGAATATAAGGATATGTATTGAAAGCTGTTGAAAAATGCGGTCGGGAGATAAAAGTGTAAGGGAAAGCAACGAAAGAGGTTGAATGGACCAAAGTAAAGTACACTCACAGCGGGGATACATTGAGAAACCCCACTGAACAGCAACTTAAAGATTAATAATGAAAGACAGGATTGTAAAACAGATACAGTATGTGTGTGTGTGTGTCTGTGTGGTTACTTGTGGGAGGGGGGAGGGTGAATGAAGGAAATGAAGGTGAGGGTATATGGTTGATGGATTTCATATACTTATATGAAATAGAACTAAGAAACCTTTTGCAATTGCTTTAAGTGGGGCAGGAAGGGGGCACGGGGAGAGATGGCGAGGGTGATCTAACCAGTGTACAATATAAACCTATTTGGAATTGTCACAGTGAATTCCCCCGTACAACAAATATATCCTAATAAATATTTATTTAAAAATGTAGAGAATTGCCAGGCAACTTCAGGTAGTGCATGTTTATGAGGACTTTACCCGTGGCACATGTGAAAACACATAACAGTATCAGCAAATAGAAGATGTTTGATAAATGATGACTTTACAAGGGTATTTTTAGATGGGGTTCCATTGGGGAAGGGAACTTTGCTTTGTTCAAAAGCCCCAAATGGTATTTGGTATGGAGTAGATGTTTAATAAATATTTATTGATAAATGAGCCTGGGGCAGTGTTGGATAGATATTAAGTAGATAAGAAATGTGTTGTTTATGTGAATTATAGTGCTGTGGTAAAAGTCCTTTTATACTTTTTCTAAGGGGAGAGCGTGAAAATATTAGCTAAGCAAAAATTTTTGTAATACCAAAGCCAAGTTATTTCTTAAGGTATTTACTATTAAGTCATACAGTATAAGATACATGTTGATAAAATGGGCATTTATGGGCTTTTCCTCATCTCACAAAATTTCTCAGCTTTTTTGGGGGGGCATTCTTGCTCCTTCAGGCTGATGTGGAATCGATCTCCAGCAGCATTCTGAAGAGTTTAGGAGTGTGCCACTTTGAGTGGGAGAATTAGTTGCTTAGTTGATTCCAGTGACTAGAAAAAAATCATAGCCAACTTGTCTCTATGGCAGTTACCCAATTAAGTCAAGCATTTGCAAATAAGTGCACTGGATATCTGCATAGGAGACTTTGTGCGTTAGTTATACACAACAGGAAGTGATGAGGAGCATCACAAGGTGTTCTAAGGGGGAGAGGGAAGAACAGAGTCAGAACTCTTAAAAGCCACATAATTTAGGGGTCATAAAATGTTAGCATCTTGGAATTTAGCATAATCATTAAAAGAAAACTTTGTTGTTTGTTATAAGCTTACCACTGGAGGTACCTTGCTTTCTTTTGGTTTCCACTGTACTCTAAATGCTGTATTTCTCCCATTTTGGAGCAAGCTTTTTCTCTCACTCCTTTGTTAGAGAGAGCTTTCTCTAGCTCCTGGTTATTATAGAACCTAACTGGGGGGGGGGGGCAGAGGGCGACTGGAGATGCAGAAAAGACACACAGTATAGATGGACAGACAGAAAGTGGATCAGGTGTGTTGGGCATTTGGGTGGAGAAGCACAGCCCTCATTGCTTCTTTTCTCTATCTTTATTCTTTAGGGCCTTACTCCTTTACAGTTCTTTAAAACCTTGCTTCTAAAGTCTTCCTTAAAACCTTGCTTAAAACCTCTTTCCTTAGACTTGCTCTGTCCCATGTTTTCTCTTAGCTGTTCTTTAGCATAATCTCTCAAAGTCTTTGCCCCCAGACTTGCACTGTCTCTTTAGCTTTCTTAAAGCCTTGGTGCTCAAACTTGCAAACAACAACGGTGCCTAAAAACTGCATATGCATAACTCTTAAAGTCCTGGTCCTCAGACTTGCACTGCCCCATGTTCTCTGTAGCTTTTCTTTAGCTTAGCTTTTCTAAAGGCTATGTATAAAGTTCTCAGTGCAGACTTGCTCTGTCCCACGTTCTCTCTTTAGCTTTCTTAAAGTTTCAGTCCTCAGGCTTGCTAGCAATTTCCCTTTAGCGATTCTTTTTCCTTCAACAATCTTTTCCCTTTAACAATTCTTTTTCCTTCCAAAAGCCTCCTGTACCAAAAAGCCTTCCCCCTCAGAAAGTCAAAAGCAAAACCCTTAAGCAAAAAGCAAAAATCCCCAAAACAAAGCCTCCAAAGCAAAAGCCTGGAATCCTCCTTCAGTGAGTCTTTTGTACCCAGTGGTAAACAGGGTGGAGCAGCAGTTCTCAGGGAGGGGTGTGACATGGTAACAGGTGAAACCTGTGTTCCTGCTTCTCTGAACATAAACAATTTAGGAAAAGCAGCTGTTCTGCTGGCCAGGGCTGTGCCAATCTTGGCCTACAGATGAAAGCAGTTGAGCTGCATCTCGCCTTGCTTATGTCCAGTTCTCATAGGCTTCTCATAATCCCCTCTCCACATCCTTTCTTAGTGGAAAGTACTATTGGGGAAAATGACCAGTTTGCATTTGCGGAAAACTGAGATAAATTTACCCATAGGTCTGGCCTTGAAGATACACACACTCACCATCCCATTAATTTTTTAATATATAAGTGAATAAAATTATAGAACATTCTATGTATTTTTCTCACTCATTAAAGAATTATCCTTGAATTTAACACATTCATATTCTTGTTCAAAGTATCATTTATTTGTATGACTTAGGAAAAAGTGCCTTTCTAGCATCATTTTTCCTATCATAGTTACTCAGATATGGTGCCTTCACATTCTCTTGCCCTTCAAAACCTACTGGTGGGGATAAAACAGGAAGCTGTCAGTAGCCTCAGGGCTGTTTCTCCTTTTCCCTTTCCTCCTAGAGTCACAGAGTCACAGGAGTTCCACATAAACTCAGTGAGTTTGCTCAGAAACCTGAGATCATCTAGAAAGCAAGGAAGGATTCATTCTCTGGAAAGAGCATCCTTTGGCAGAAGAATCCTTTGGCAATCAACAGAAGTTCAGACTGGCTGTCAACATGTTAGACTGAGAGGCAGACTCCAGGATACAATTAGGCCAGGTTGAAGAATTTACAGAACAGTGAGTGTAATTTGTGCCCTGAAAAATCCAGTTGAACATCTGTAACCTAAGGCCACCCAAGAGTGGCAGTGGAGTTGCATATTTGAGAACACATGCCTTCATTCACACACATAACCGGCCCAGAAGCCGAGCGAGGGGATGTAGTGGAGGTGGGAGAGCTACTTCCCTGGTTTCCCTTAGAAGAGGAGGTTGCTGGTAAGAAAAATGAGCAGGATATGAATAGCACCCACAATGGGGCTGCTGAAAGCTGTGACAGCCAAGCTACTGGGTGTGGTCGTTGCAGGGGTTGATGTAGTCTTGGCTGGGGTCCGGGTGGTTTTGGTTGTGGTCGGATTGGTTCTGAAAGTGCTGGTGGTGGAGGTCAAGGTTGTGGTTGTTTCTGGAAAACAAACAATAAGCATCAGAGCCTCTGTTGGGTGGAGGCTGGGGACTAGAAGCAGCTGCTAATCTGAGAGAATGCCAGAGCCTGAGTTCAGGAGCAAATTCAATCAGTACTTCTCCAGTGCTAGGTGTGTACAGAGGTCAACTGCTAGGGGGCCAGAGTGTTAAGTAACACAAGTAAGCCTTTAGCCTTAAGGTCTGCACAGTCCTTTGAGGTTAGGGGGAGACCTACTGAATTTATACAACTGCTGAATTTATTATGGGGTGGCTAGTCTGCCCTCAAAAATTTCATGTCCATAATATTAGATTAACCACTATAAATAGATCCTGAATAGCACAGTTTAATGTTTTTCATGCTAATTTCAAGGGTTTATAGGAACTCAGTATCATCTACACCTAAGTATGACCATTCCTGCTTTACAGTTAGTAGAAAGATGCCTTATCCAGACTCCTGACTCCCTTTCTCTGGTTTGTGAGGTACAGGCCATTTTCACATGCAGGGATCTGACCAGACATTAGTTCTCTGAGGTTATCTCTCAGAGAAGTAGAGAAAGCCAGACCTATATTCTGGGGGATAGGGGACTTGGCTGATCCTGGAACACTAGAGCTTGGGACTCAGACAATTCAAGGGTCTGACTGGATCATAGAGGGGTCCCCTTTAAAACTCTGGTTACAAGGAAGAGGAAGAAGGAAAACATCCAGTGATTTACCAGCCCTGGGTAGCCTTTTGTCTGCCTGGAGGATGCCTTTTAGTTCAGTGGCATTGTCTCATCTCATTTAGCATTTCCCTAGAACAAATATTTCTTTGGTATTCCAGGAGTCACAACTCAGGGTCTCACTATGTAGCCCAGGCTAGCCTCGAATCCTCCATCCTCCTGCCTTAGCCTCCCAAGTGTTGGGATTGCAGGTGTGTACACCAAACCTTGTCTCTTTTTCTTTTCTTCCCTTCTCTCTTTTCTTCTCTGATTCTCTTTCTCAGATAGGGTCCCACTATGTAGCCTAGGCTTGTCTCAATTTCTCCATCCTCCTGTTTCAGCCTCCAGGGTGCTAAGATTACAGGTCTGTACCACCATACCCAGGCTTTCTCTCTTTCTCTCTCTTTTAAACTCTCAATTTTATTAGCATAGAGCTATTAAAATTAGAAATAAACATTTTCTCCCCCTCTTAGAATTTATACAAGTGTTCATTTTATGTCCTTGAGGAAGAAAAATAACACCCCAGCCTTCTCACAGAGGCAAAGCCACCAAGGAAACAGTTAAGACTTTCATATAATAGTTTCATTAATCATAATCACTGTAAGATTTATTGTTGGAAATAATTATCCCCTTTGAGCACATTTCACAATGCTTGACTGGTAGAAAAATAGGTAGCATGCGATGTCTTTCAGTGTTCCAGGTCACGAGGAAGTCCTGTTACTTGGACACTGAGACAGGCTAATGGGTTTGAATCTTGCATTTAAAAACTTCATTACAGTCAGTTCTTTAGTTTTAATGTAAGGCTAAGAAAAGTGGAAATAAGCCTAAGATGTGGAACTAGAGACCTCATTTTGCTAGACTTTCTGTGTAGTCTTACACAAGTTGCTTATTTTTTTCTGTACCTTGTTTTCTGAATTTGTTTTAGTTCCCTCCAGAGAGGTAAGAGAAAAGGAAAGAGACAACAAAGGGAGAAGAAGGATGAGGAAGCTCAGGAAGGTGTGAAGTTGAGTGCTACAGCCTGTAAAAGCCAGTGGAAACTACCAGTGGTAGCAGTAGCAGTGGCCACTTTAAGAACGAATGAAATTATTGATCTTTCTTTGGTATCAATCATTTTTTGTGCAGCTTCTCCCCTCTCACCTCATCCCCTTTAAAACTGTGGTTAAAGTCTACTGCATACAATGAAGGCTTTGTGTGAGTGGAGACCATATTCTCAGTTACAACCTTGAAGGGAGGGAGGCACAGCCCTGGGAATGCTGTTTTGGGAACAGCACAACCTTGAAGGTATAACAGTGGAAACTAACCTTGTGCCCTCAGGCCCCGGCTTATGTAACAGGGTATATGTTTATGAGCCCAAGCTACTGTGTAACTGTTTTTTGGGGGTTCTAAGAGGCAGAGACAGCAGGTTGCCCCTGTCTCTCCTTCCCTTGTACAGTCTGCTGTGTTGTTGATGGGAATAAAGCTGCCTATATACACAATGGCCCCTCGTGCTTCTCTTTCAGTTTTCCATTGGGCCCACTTTGCACACCACTGGCCAAAATGGTGGGCATAACAGTGTGAGTGGGTATTCTTTGTGGAAATTGAGGGGGATATTGATTTTCATATTGATCTCTATCAAATAGAAATAGCTCCCAGGGAAGCAGGAGCTTAGAGCCACAGGTAACCATGAAAATTTCTGAGAATTTGCTTGGGGAGGGCTTTGTTTTTCAAAGGCATGGGACAACAGGTTGGGAAAAACTTATGAAGGCTCCAAGGTGCTGGGAGACTCCACTGATATCTGGGTACGTGATCCTTTCTATTGAGGGTACCCACAAAGAACTTTTGCAAGCTGAGTTTACTGCCAGATATACAAATGGGCTATAAGAAACTCACCTTTATTTCCCAGTTTCACAGAAGAAAATGTAGCAGTGCGGTTGAGATTGACAATGAAGGCTCTGTGGAGGGCAAATCAATGAGAGGTAGGGTGAGGGTCACATCTGTGGAATACCCAAGTTCAGCTCACATCCCTGCGTTTCTGGAACACCATGCCCTCTTAATCTCAGTGCCTGCTTTTCCTATGTCCCAATGAGCAGATAATTAAAGATTAGTCTGTTTTATATTGTCTTCACTAAGCTCCTCCATGGTCTTACTCCAGACAGGCTGGGCCTGCTGCCTGTATCACCTATCTTGGTTATAGCTGTCCATAGACTCAATGGTAGCCTTCTCTATGAAGTGGTTTTCCCTATTGTCATTAACCCAGATGATGATCTCCATCAGGGAGCCATGACCCCTACTGCACTGAATTGCTACAAGCCTTTCTCCCTACTGGAGGGCTGACTTCTTGATCATATCTGATACATTGTAGGTACTTAATGATTGTTGACCTGAGTCTATTATAGTTTCAGTTTCTTGTTTATATATTCAACAAATAATTAACAAAAGGACACTATGTGACAATCACTATACTTGATCACCAGAAGGCCTGGTTCTTGCTCTGGTGGCATTTATAGCATCTTCAGAGAGACACATTTTAAAAGAAGGATCAACTAATTAGTTAATTAATTAGGTGATGTTTCACCTCTGCAATTATTTCTGTATGGGCCTGGCCCCTCAACCTCACTGTGAAGTCCTGGGGGCTGGGACCTCTTCATATCCCCTTGGTGCCCTACTCAGCATAGTACCCAGCATAGTGGTGCTCCCTGCTTCCTGTGTCCTCCTCCCCTTGAGTCAGTTTTGCTGATCAAGGCCACGGGTGTACACATTGTGAACAAGCTGAGAGACTAGTGTGTCACTGCAGGTGTACAAATCGGGATGGGATGGGAGACAGGTCATCAGTGGACTATGCTGTTTCTCTAGCAGAGTGCTGTTGTTTGTTCTTTGATCTGTTGTTGCATGAGTGTGGAGGCTTTAATGAGGTGAGATGAAAGGAAAGTCCTAGCTCTGATTAGCCTTGGCTGGCTTCTAAACAACTGCTGGCATTGTGAGTCTGGAATAGAAACAGATCCCCTCTGGAGTCTGCTCTTGGATGTCAATCTGTGGGTATATGGTACCTCCTCCAAAGCCAGCTAAGTACGACCAGGCCCAGAGCATGGCAAGAGAGGGGAGAGGATGGCGACAGCAGTGTCAGCAGCTTCCAGACACTAGGCTGTTCACGGTGAACACAGCCCCACGGTCAGAATTGCCCTTTGAGTGCAAAATGACAGTCTGGAAACATAGATGCCTCACATGCTTGGTTCCTAAAACAAACCTGGTATCAAATCCCTAAGTGGGAGGAAGGCTTGTCGGTGAATCAAGCCTACCCCTTTTCTATGACACTGGGAAACAAGTTTTACCATACAACTGTCATACTTTCCCTGAGCAAGCCATTACCAAAATGAATATATATGTTAAAAATGATTCTTTAGTTTGTAGAAAATTTGTTTTGTTTTGGACAGTACTGGGGTTTGAACCCAGGGTCTCACACTTGCTAGGCATATGCTCTTTTCACTTGAGATATGTCCTGGCTCTGAATATAGATAATTTGAAAGAAAAAGGGCACCCAGTTCTTTCTGTTTGTGTTGAGCGTAACTGATGTGATATGGTATCTGTTAAGGTGTGTATGTGTGTGTGTGTGTGTGGTGTATGAGTGTGTGCTTGTGTGTATGTGTATTCCTACATATAAAAGGCATGACAGAGGATAGTGAAAGGAAGTGCCTCTGCTGGATTCTCCATGTCATATCTGGATTGTGGTTTTAGTCCTCTTGGGTCAATGTAAAACTTCATAAAAGCCCAAATAAAAATTTAAATGCCTAAAGCAAAGCGAGGTACTTACTGCAGCTCCACTCCAGTTATGTCCTCAGAATTAGGAACTATCCAGTGGACCTGGAGGAATGAGCTGTTTAGGTAAGTCACATGATACAGGACACCATTGCCATTGTTGCATTCCTCGTGGGCTTCCTGCCAGGTGCCCACCGGGTTGTGGTTCTTGTCCAGGGCCTGCAGGAGCACAGTGCTGACATTGCTATTCACAGGAACCCATACTAGGAGGAAAGGGGGAAGAAGCAATCAGTCCTCTGTTAGTGGAGCCAGGGGATAAGGGCTGTGAAGTCTAATGAAGTGTGAGAAAAGAAAGTTACAGAGTGGTATGCATAGTACAGGAAAATACAAGATATTAACCATGGTGATTTCTCAGTAGTGAGATTATAGATGATTTTTATTTTCTTCTTGGTGCTTTCCAGATTTCTACAGTGAAATGTGGACAAAGACCTATCCTCTAGCTGTAGTTTTGCTACATACTAGAGGTGAGGTCCCAAGAATGAATCTCGACCTGACTGGAGCCTTTTTGCCAGGTAGGAGGTAAGGCTGGTGGGCCCTCCTCCCAGGGGGAGTGCAGGGATAGTGGATGCATGTGAAAGGGTCAGGTGGGACCTGAGAAATGCTCCATGAACATACATGACACTGTCACCAGGTAAAGCAAAGCCCTGATCCTACTGATTCTCTTGGTCTCTGTGTTGAAGGTGTGGGAAGGGAGCATGGTCTAAGCTGTCAAATAAGCCCTTAGGGTTAATCTTCACTCAGATGAGTCTCCCCCTGTGACCCAGCTTGGCCTACACTTACTGGGAATCTTGCTGATACTTGCTAATTTCAGCATTCTGATGTGTAATAAGGAGGGCATTTCAAGAAAATATTTCGGCCTCTCCATTTCCTCCCTTAGAAGAGTCCCCTTCTCAATGCCAGGCTGTGTTCTCTCCAGAGGTCTTTAGCCATCGGAGATTCCTTCAAAGGCTTCTTCACAAAGCAGAGAATGCAGATCACGTAGCTCAATGAGACCAGGCAGTTCTGGGTCTGAATTCTTGCTCTAACACTTATGAACAGTCTGGTTTCTTGCTGCTCATTTAATCACTCCACACACACATTTATTTTTGGCAGTACTGGGGTTTGAATTCAAGGTGTCACACTTGTTAGGCAGGCACTGTACCACCTGAGCCATATCTGCAACCCTTTTTAACTCCCAAGTGCTGGGATTACAGACACGATCCACCACGCATAGCTTTGTTTTAAGAGTTTCTTTCCATGATAACAAAGGGACCCAGTTGTCTCTTGGGAGTTGCCAAACTATTTATACATGGCTTACCAATGTTGACACAATGCTGAAATGGAAAAAAATTTCAAAACCAATATAAGGAAAGGTGGTTGGCTTGGGTGAACATTTACTCAGAGTCCTCAGAAGGCCTAAGCCCTGGGAAGGACATTCTACAAGGCATTTGTGGAGCCTGCTTTATACTTGCAGATGTGGAATCTGTCTCTTCTACTCCCATGGGCAGAGGATTTTGACCCTAAGATGAAAGCATTCCTATTGTGAGTAAGAGTACCACAGGGCTTGCACACATTTCACTTCTGAAATGGAATCTGATAAAAGTGCATGGCATGCATAGGCATTCAGAAACCCAAGTGCTTTTTTTTCCCCATCCTTTCCATCTTACTGGTTCCATGTGATGCTGCTGTCACTGCCCTTTCACCTCCCAGATCTCTTGCGTCTTTCTTCTCCTGTCTCCCATCTCCCTCATGTCAGAAGACTCCCTTGTCTCCCCAGTACCTTCACCTGGCAGAATTCTCTTTCTCCCACTTTCGCCTTGTGATGTGTTATCTTACATAAGGGACCTGTAATCTGTCTTGCTGTAATGCCTTTTGATTCCCCAGGTCACACAGATACCTACCTGCTACTCATCTTGAATTACAAGATTATCCTCCCTGCCCTGGTAGAACAAGATCTACTTCCTGAGGCTGTGGGACAAGCGAAGTGCATAGTGGCAGTCTCCAGGAAAAAGTAGAAAGAAAGCTGGGTGCCAGTGGCTCACACCTGTAATCCTAGCTACTCAGGAGGCAGAGATCAGAAGGATGGTGGTTCGAAGCCAGCCTGGGCAAATAGTACGTGAGACCCTATCTTGAATAACCCCTTTACAAAAAAGGGCTGATGGAGTGGTTCAAAGTGTAGGCCCTGAGTTCAAAACCCAGTACCACAAAAAAAAAAAAAAAGGATAAGCAGGTTAAGTGTGTGAAGCTATGCCATAAGCAGGTGGTTCACCTAGTGATGGGGGGAATCTGTAAACTATGAGTGTTACCCCAGGGGTCTCTGCAAAATTTGGTTAGACTTTCTAAGAGAGGCAGGATGGCATAGGAATAAGAAGAAAGGCTTTGAAACTGGATGAAACTAGCGTGTTATTTAGGTTAAAATGTTAGCTGTGTTACATTCTAGTGACTTTGGGTAAAATTTTAACTTCTGCATGCTTCAATTCTCATCTGTAAATTGGGAAGTTGATAGCACTTGTCCTTAGAGCACTATCCAGCATGTAGTAAGAAGTGTTGGCTCTCATATTTGACAGATGTTCAGGGCAGGGTCTCTGAAGCTAGAGAGCTGGGACATATCCCAGTCCCACCATTTCTATAGCTCTGTGACCTGAGCAAGCCATTTAACATCTGTGCCTGTTTTCTCATCTACAAAATGGAAACGATAAAGTGATCTAACTCATAGATTAGTATGAGAACTAAGTGCATTCATACATAATAGAATGGCTCAAGGGGTAGAGTGCCTGCCTAGCAAATGCAAGGTCCTGAGTTCAAACCCCAGTACAGAAAAACAACAACAACAACGAAACAAAAGAAAACCAGCTCCTCAATCCATAAAGCACCACGTCAAATCTTGTTGCTGCTGTTGTAAAACTAATTAGAAAGCATATTCCTTGACTGGTTGATTTGGCGGCTCCCCAAAGGGGTATTTATAAGATATTCACCAGGTACTTCTAAGAAAAGCACTGGGTTAAGAATGAAAAGACCAAGATTTAAGAGCCAGGTCTGTCACTTAATGGCAGTGGGACACTGAGTAAGCCAAAATGCCAGGAGCCAGGCTCCTCACATATAAGGTGGGCAGCTTACAACGTTTTCTGCTCACAGACTGACTAAATGCCAGTAGTCCCTCTGGAGTTATGCAGTGTACATAGAGGAACAGAGGAACTGTTTTGTCAAGTGGATGTGAAAAGACGGCATACTGTGATGCAGTTATGATCCCTTAAAATAATAAAATGTCCATTTTATTCAAGTCAGAGAATTTGCTTGCTGAGGCCCATGTGATCTGGGCATTGGAACTTTATGCCTCCTGTGATTCAGGTTTGCACAGGAAACTTGCAGAAAGAGTCCTCTCCACCCTCTCACATCTTTTCATTCCTCCATTTCCCATCTGGTTCAGAAACACATATTTTGTGTAACTGAGAGCAGTGCAGAAAAGGTGTTGTTCTGGAATTCTGATAAACACCTCACAGAGACAGAGGACAGCAAAAAGTGTGGCTTTCATTTACCTGTGTAGCTTGTGTTGCTTCCAAAGACACTTGGGTTGGTTTTGATGCCTGGGTTGTGACTGGTAAAGGCCTTGTCAAAGATCATGCAGTTGTCACTAGAATTTGTAGAGATGGCAGAAGAAAAGGGTAGTCCAAGGTAGAGAAACAGCCCCAGTTGTAGCAGCATGGAATGGAGCAGTGCCATGGTCTTGATGTGCTTGGGTTGCTGAGTCTGGCACCAGTGAGACTGAAGACTGACTCGCTTTCTGTTTATATGCTCTGGGACTGGAGCATTGGGTGATGTCACACATGCAAATCTTCTTCCCACCCCTCTGAAAAATACACTGCCTTCTGGAATTTGGCCCAAGAAATCACTAGTGAATCACCAGTCTTGACTTACCTGTCACCAATGATCCTTTACCAATTCCAGTTTTGCTCAAGAAGGGGAATGTGAAAATTATGGTTTGTACAAAATATGCCTTTCACTCTTCTCACATCTGCATATGAAGGAAGCTGCTGAGAAACTGTTGAGAATTTCACCAGCAAAGTGACATTCAGAGTTGAGCAATAATCCCAAACCTACTCTGTCTGGGAAGTCTGCTCCTCTCCCCGCAGGAAACTCAGGCATTGAAGCCTTCTTTTCTTGGAATAGTACATATTGTCTTCTGATCCTACTTAATCGAGCATCTATCCAATTTCCAGGTAATTTCATGGCTAGCATAGAATTACAAAGACTGTATCTGTATTTATATTTCTTTCTTTGAAAAGAAATATAAACAGCTTAGATCCACCCTGTTCTTGACACTTTCTTCCATAGCATTACAGCACAAGGAAACTACCAAAAATCAGAAAATAGGTTTTTAAAATAGGTTTTTAGTAATTTACTCACTGAAGCAAAAAAGAAGGAAGAAGTATGAGTAAAAAGAAAACAAAAGCAAATGTAGGATTGAATTAGGGTAATATTTTAAAGTGTTTGTTCAAGAGAAGTAGTTAGAGAGTGGTAGAATGAAGATCTCTGAAAAATTCACTCCTTCGTAAAAGCAGTGGGAATGCTGGCAAAAATGGTCAACAGCAACTTTTTCAGAACTCTAGAAATTAACCAAAGTTTTCTAAACAATGTGGAAACATTTATTTAATAAATATTAGTTGGATGTCATTGAAAACATTGAGCATTGTGGTGTTTTTAAGTTGTCTAGTCCACTCCCTCACCCCATCTGCATGGTTGCCTTGGAAACTGAGAACCTTGCAACTATGGTAGCTGTGAAGATCAGAAAACTACCAGCCAATAGAAGGGGTTAGCATGGGCTTGGAAAGCCTCATTCGCAGAGAACTGTGTGACCCACTTGGAAGTTGCCTGTAAAGCTGCATTCTCAGAAATGTCTCTATTTGATCAGACTTAGAACCTTCTGTGTCAACAGCTTTATTGACAATGTGGTTGTCAAATACAGTCAGTGGGAATTTTTAAACATTGCAGTTTCTTGAGGCAACAATTCTATTTGAGCACAACAAGAAAATGAGTAAAAACAGGTAAACAAACAAACATAAAAGAAAAACCCGAGGAATGAGATGTTCATAGAAAACTTTGAGCTCAAATTCATAGGAATCTAGAAGACCATGTGCATGGGCAGGCATAGTCACATGCCTAAGAATGGCCCAAGAAACCAGTGCCCTTCACTTGTCTTGAGACTTTGCCCAAGTAGGAAGTGGAGGCTGAGGCAGACTTGTAAAACTGCTGGCCTGGCCAGTGCAGGCCTGCCCTAACATGCACACAGAGAAGCACTTAATGAAGACTGACAGACTTCCTGCTTTGAAAGATTTGAGGAAGTTTCTGTCTATTCATCAGCAGACAACTAAGTTTACCGAGCAGAGACTTCAGGGGTCACACATGATAAAGAATACAGAATTTACAGAATTAATCTGAGAAAGTCAAAACCAAACAAACAGAAGCAACAGCAGCAATAGCAAACAACGAATAACACCAAATGCCTTGAGGAGGGGAATCTGGTGTTCACAGATGCTATGTTACATTTTTTAAATGTTCATTTTTCAACAAAAAATTATAAGACAGGGCTGGGGATAGCTCATTAGTAGAGTGCTTGCCTACTGTGAGCAAGACCCTGGGTTCAATTCCCAGTGCTAAAAACAAAGCAAAACTACAAGACACATCACAACAAATAAACCCCAAAATACCAATACCAATAATAATAATAAAACTAAGAACATATGGCCCAAACAGAAGGAAAAACTCTCAGTCAACATAAACTGGTCCTGAAGAAACCCAGTTGTTGGAGTTATTAGACAAAGACATTAACTCAGTTTTATAAATATATTAATGAACCAGAAGAAGTCATATCCAAAGAGTGACGTATCATCAAATAAAGAATAAAGAGACAGAAATGATAAAAAAAAGAAAGAAACAAATAGAAATTCTTCAGTTGAAAAGTCCAATAACTAAAACAATATCAGTAAGATCGATTTGAATTGGCTGGAGGAAGTGTCAGTTAGTTTCACAGCTCAACTGAATAAATTAAATGAGAAATACTGTACTGAAAACTATGACAAAGGATCCAGAATAGCCAAAATGATCTTGGAAAAACAAAATAAAGTTGGAGTACTCACACTTTCTGGTTTTAAAACTTAGAACGAAGCTATAGTAATGGAGGCAGTGTGGTACTGGCATAGTATTCATAATATGGATCAATGGAGTAGAATTGAGAGCTCAGAAGTTCAGATGGAACCCAGGCCTCAAACCCAGATCCACATACATGTTACCCAAGTGGTCTTCCATTAAGCTACATCTCTATCCCTGAGCAAGTGACTTTGACAAGGGAGCCAAGACAACTCAATGGGGGGGGGGAGAATACTTTCTTTATAAACAGTGTTGGATAAATGGATATCCACATGTAAAAGAATGAGGTTGGACCTGTATACCTCATACTACATGCAGAAATTAATTGCAGATAGATCAAGGACTTAAATGTAAAACTGTAAAACTCTTAGAAAAAAAATATAGATATAAATTTTCATGACTTTGGTTTGGACAATAGTTTATTAGATGTAATGCCTAAAGCAAAAGTAAGCAAAGGAAAAAAGAGATAAATTGTATTTAATCAAAACTAAAAGCTTTTGTTCTTTAAAAGTCATTATGAAGAATCTGAAAAGATAACCTACATAATTGGAGAAAATATTTACAAATCATATATCTGATAAGGGTCCACTATCAGAATATATAAAAAACATTTGAAACTCAGTAATAAAAAGACAAATATCCTGATTGAATGAGCGAAGGATTTGAATACTTTGAGATATACAGATAGCCAATAGCACATGAAAAGACACTCAACATCATTAGTCACTAGGAAAATGCAAATGAAAAGTATAATGAGATACCCCTTTCCAGACGTTAGGATGACTGTAATGAAAATGACACATAATAACAAGTATTGGCAAGGATGCAGAGACACTGGAACCCTCATGCATTGCTGGCAGGAATGTAAAATGATGCTTCCACTTTGGAAAAAATTCAGTGTCTCTTAAAACAGTTAAATGTAGATAGAGGGCTGGAGGCATGACTCAAGAAGAAGAGTGCCTGGCAAGCGCAAGGCCTTGAGTTCGATCTCCAGAAATGTTTTTGCTGGGTGGGGTGGCACAGGTCTGTAATCCCAGCACTGAGATGGTGGAGGGAGGAGGATTGTGAGTTCAAGGCCAGCCTGGGCTACATAGCAAAGCCCAACACCAACAAAAAGTTAAACACAGAGTTATTTCTGTGTGGTCCAGAAACTCCAATTCTGGGTATTTTATCCAAGGGAATTGAAAACATATACGCACCTAAAAACTTCTACATGAATGTTTATAAAAGCATTATTCATAATACCCCAAAACAGAACTCAAGTGTTTATCAATTCATGAATAAAACAAAATGTGGCACATCTGCACTATCATTCAGATCTAACAAGGAATAGAGTACGATACACACTACAACGTGGATTGACGCCAGAGACAAAAGACTATTTCCTGTCCGATTTCACTTATATGAAAGATGTAAAGTAGGCAAATCCACATAGCCAGAAAGTGGTGGCCAAGGACTAGGGGGGAAAGGTGAAAGGGAAGTGACTACCTATTGGTTTAGGGCTACTTTTTGGGGAGACAGTGGTGATGATGTTATAACCTTGTGAACATACTAATACCACTGAGCTGAATTTTATAGTATGTGAATTATATTTCAATAAATTTTTTATTTATATAATATACTGCATAGGCAAGTTGGGGTAGTAGAAGGCATGTGATTGAAAACAATGATAGGACTTTAGATCTGTTCAGAATCCTGGCTTTAGGAGAGTTTTTAACCTATTAAGCTTTAGCTTCCAGGTTTCTTATGGGAGAATGGGGTGGCCCAGGGATCAATTCCAGGGCCCTAAGCATGCAACATGTGGATTTTACCACTGAACTACATCTCCAGTCAACGTCTCCTCTTCTGGAAACTGGGACAATATTGACATACTTACATATTTTATATGTATTAAGTGAGAAATATATGTAAGTCATTTTGAGGGGTGGGGTGGGCCTGACATAATGTAGATTTTTAACATACATTCCTTCCTCACTCCCTCCATCCTTCCTTCCTTCTTTCATTAATTTCTACCATATTAAGACAGTGTATTAGGACAAAATAAAGTACAGGAGTCTTGCTTACTGATACGGACACAATAGTCTAAGCCAGCTGATGAATTGGGAACGGAGGATTGGGGGACTGAGGAACAACTTGGAAGGAAAAACTCTGATTTAAGGAAATTATTACATTCATTTATTGCAATGTGGAGCTCAGTCGGAGAGAGTACCTGTGTGAAACATTGGCATTGCCTGTAGGGAAGAGGGAATGTCTTCTGGTGACAGGGACAGCTGTTGACAAAACAATTCTAGCCAGAATCTGATTCTAGCCAGAAAGGACTTGCCAGTCCGCCTAGAGTTTGTATCCTAGGACTCTTCATGCCACAGAAAGCTTGGTGAGCTGTCCATATCTCATCGGTCCCTCTGGGAAGGACAGTTATCAGAGAAACGAGAAAAGATGGTCTTCCAAAGTCAAAGTCTAAGAGAGAAATTCTCTTAAATTCACCAGATGTGACAGGGATGGAGGCAGGGGTAACCATTATGAGGTGCCCTGGGGTTTTGACCCTATCTCCTAAGTGTGTCAAAAGTTTGACAGAT